AAAAATCCCGGGTTACCCATTTAAGTCTGGGTCTATGGAGAAATGATCAAGACCTTTATAAATAAATCATTCAATCTTATTCGTAATGGATGCACTGCATGGTCAAATATTTTAATTATTTCTTGAGTTTAAATATTCACTATGACCGTATTGCCGGCATAATTGTTTTATAGGTTGAATTTATTTTGCGAATAGAAAAAAATAAGAAAGCTAATCAAAATGAAAGAAAATTAAGTTTAGAAGAAAGTAATATATATTTAATCTATTTTTATGAAAATTTCAAAACTCGGTAGAATATATCTATCTCAGAAAACTACATTATAAACCTCTTATGTATGAATATAATGAATTTACCAAAATGACTCATTAATGGAATGAATATTTTTTTATCAAAACTTACTAAACCTCGTCTATAAAGGTGACATAATCAACTTAATATATTAGTCATGAACTCCTACTGTGCTTGTAAAGATACGTAGGGGAAGCTCCAACGCGGATCTTTTCACTTTATAATAGCTTGTCATAAAGTTATTCTAAGAACCGATGACATAATAGTCACTAAAATCAATATATTTTAGCTCTCAGCTGTCATCGCTTTTAGTCATAATACAAATTTAGGTAATACACATTTTATTATTCTTTATGAGCATTATTAATAGGATATTCTGAAGTACACCAAAAAACAAGTATAGTCGCTAGTTCATATATATGATATGCATAACTTTCCCCTATTGATATTTTATACTATTAACTTTTAGTATATTATTATGATTATATAAACACTTAACGTGTATTAAATCATGGTAGCTTGGCTACTGTCCACAATGCTACTCATGGATTGACTTGCGCGAGCAAACATGTTAAGCACAATTTTAATTTTACAGTTTACTTAATTTTCTTTTTTGTTGTTGTCAGTCGCTATTTCACTTTATAATAGCCTATTAGTTACTTTGACTGAAATAACATTTAATTCAGAATCTAAACTTGCAGAAAATTCAGAGGAAATTTACTTAAAGTTGGGTAGAGGTTTAAACTTTCCTTTTTTTTATGTTTCCATTTTTTATAGGGATAATCTATACGGTAAAATAAATAAAAGAATCTTAATGGGCCGTTTTTTAGTATTTGAGTTTCATTGGCTGCAAATGTCACCCCATCATATTCAGGGTTCACTGAAAAATATTCGTTTTAATTGTAGAAAAAAACGTGGATTTGTTTAAATTCATGCAAAAATACGAGTACAGGAAATCCCTCGGGTTGGTCGACCGACGTCATAGACCCGATCGACCGACAAACTGTTGAATTACAGGGTTTGAAACCCCGTCTCTGGACGGTCGACCGGTGTCACATGGCCGGTCGATCGAAAACGTGCACACTATAGGGTGAGAAATTGAGCTTCTAGACAGGCGATCGGTGGCACATGTCCGATCGATCGAAAGCGGGTTATTTGGCCAGTTTGTTTCCTGTTCGTTTTTGGGTTGGATTTTGATATAAATAGGAACTTCGTTTCCTAGGGTTTACAGAGAGCGTTTTAACAGAGAATTACCAGTCTTTTAAGCACTTTGAAAGGGAGATTATTGTGAGGGGGTGTGAGATCATTGGTTGGGTTATTTTGAGAGTTATTTGAGTGATTGTAACTCGTTGTTTCTCCTCGATATAGTGAAATCTCTCTATCCTCTCCCCGTGGACATAGGCAATTGCCGAACCACGTAAATCTCTGCATTTGGATTGATTTGTGTTGTATTTTGGTGAATTGAACTCGTGATATGGTTTAGTTTTGTTCACTCATCGCTCGCCTACTCGTTTGGTTGTCGAGCACGCTTTCGCACGGCGCGCGACAAGTGATATCAGAGCCAAGTTTCAGATCTAGGGTTTTGCATTGGGTGGCTTGTCGCACACCGTGCAGAAGCGTGTTCGACAACCAAACGAGTCGACAAGCGATGAGTGAAGAAAACCAAACCAAATTACGAGTTCAATTCACCAAAATACAGTACAAATTAATCCAAACGCAGAGATTTACGTGGTTCGGTAATTACCTACGTTCACGGAGAGAGGATAGAGAGATTTCACTATATGGAGGAGAAACAATGAGTTACAATCACTCAAATAACTCTCAAAATAACACAACCAATGATCTCACACTCCCTCATAATAATCTCCCTTTCAAAGTGCTCAAAAGACTACTAATTCTCTGTTAAAGCGCGCACTGTAAACCATAGGAAATGAAGTTCCTATTTATATCAAAATCCAACCCAAAAACGAACAGGAAACAAACTGGCCAAATAACCCGCTTTCGGTCGACCGGACATGTGCTACCGATCGACCGTCAAGAAGCTCAATTTCTCACCCTGTAGTGTGCATGTTTTCGATCGACCGGCCATGTGCCACCAGTCGACCGTCCAGAGACAGGGTTTCAAACCTGTAATTCAACAGTCTGTCGGTCGACCGGGCCTATGCCGTCGGTCGACTTACCTGAGGGATTTCCTATACTCGTATTTTTGCATGAATTTGAACAAATCAACGTTATTTTCTACAATTACGTGGTAGTCATGGGAAATGATCAATCCTGTGGCATTTGTGGGATAAGTACCGTCAGGATTCGGATGCACCATGGAGTTGTTCGTGAATTGAATGAAGTGAGATTTGTTCATCAACTGAAGAAGAATCTTATTTCTGTTAGAACTTTGGAGGCAAATGGATTCAATGTGACATTTGAGACAACCAAGGGATCTTTGGTAGTGATGAAGGGAGTCTACAACAAGAATCTTTATTATCTGAAGGGAAGCACTGAGATTGACCAGGTAGCTTTAGCTGTTTCAGAGGCGGATGTGAGCAGACTTTGGTACTATAGGTTAGGGCACACAGGTGAATAATCACTACATGCGTTGTGCAAGTATAGGCTATTGAAGAGAGCCAAGAGTAGAAAGATTGAATTCTGTGAGCACTGTGTGGTAGACCCTAATGCCACTAGGAAATAACCCTAGAGGGGGGGGGGGGGGGGGGGGGGGGGGGGGTGAATAGGGTTTATGCTAATCTAATCCGATTCAATGCCAATTAAAAACTTATTAAAATAATTTATCCTAGCAAATAAGATATGCAACAATTATATGCAAAGATAAGCAATATAAACAAAGGGTAAAATAAACAAACACAAATAATATAATGGATAAATTAGACAATGAGAGAATGACGATAGAGATAAACAAAATATAAGTGCACAAGCCAAACTCAAACACACAAGAAATGAACACGGAGTTCGGACCTTTCGTCCTACGTCTCCGCTCCCCGCTCCCCACTCCCGGGGAGAATTCACTAAACAACCAAGTTTTCAACAATCACCCGAATAACGTTTATACCACACAATATATGTTTTCAATGCTCACTGATCAACGTTCACAATCACTCAAAATGTAACTACACAATTACCACATCAAGTGTTGGCCTCTCACATGTCTCCCTCAAGTGCTCAGAATTACTACCTCTCACTAGGTTTTACTACCGACGCTACTCCTCTTGGGACTAACCACGTCTCTCACCTCTACACTCCTCTTGGTGTACTTGTGCAATACAAAGTGAAAGCTCGCAATTAAGCTCTATAACGAATGATTGTTCTCTAAATAAGGTGAGAACTCAATTAAGCTCACTCTCAAGATCACAAACCCACAACCCCAAATTATACTATGTGTGAAATACTATAAGCTCAATAGGTTATGTGTGAACAATGAGTATAATCAAAACAAATCTAAACTCAAATAAATTCTAGCTTATGGAAATGAAAAATCAAATAATATAAAAAGCTAGATAAGAGTTTAGAAAAACTTCTCTATGATGACAAGAGAGAGAGGGAGAAGAGTTGAATGCTCAAACACCAATGGATGATCTCCTCAAGCTATTGTGAAAATTTCTTCACAAATAAACTCTTAAACAAACTTAAAAACCATTAAACAAACTTGTAAAACTCTTTTTAAACCTTTTTTCTTAGCTAAAATAAACTGAGGATATGTGGGGGTATTTATAGGAACCCCAAAGAAAAGAGAAAATAATGCAAAAAGACCAAAAACCAAAAACAGATAAAAGCTAGAAAAAACTAGCCGTTACAACATCAGTCGACTGATGAGCTGACTGTTACAAGCAGCTCACAGCTCATTAGTCGACTGAAGACCTCGTTAGTCGAGTGAAGACCTCATCAGTCGACTAAATAAAAAATAAAAACTTTTGATAATTCCAGGCGAGTTCATCAGTCGACTGATACACTCTATCAGTCGACTGATAACAAGTTATCAGCCTGATATGAATAGTAAAACTGATTTTTAAAGTGTCTTTAAAAATATCAAATAAATTCTAAAAATTGTAAAACTTTAGAAAATATTTATAAACATGATAATAAACATGTTGCAAAAAGAATTTTTTAAATTGCACTTCAAATTTATGAAAATTCATCATTTTGTAAAAATGTCCAAAACATGAAAACTTTATATGCTTGAAATTTAATGTTTTGACATAAACCAAAATTTAAAACTTTGCAAAATAATTATATAGACTTGATAAAAAGTATAAACTATAGTTGTTAAGTCTATAAACTAAAAGTACAATATTTTTCCAAATACAATAGATTATGAAACATATAAAAGTGTATATGAAGATATATATTGTTTCATATCTATATAGCTAAACCAAAACATATATGTATATAACTATATATATATAGAAAACCAAAACGTATATGTGTGTATATGATTGAGCTTAAAGTACCAACATACATAATATAAATCGTGAACTATTTACCCAAGATATATTGATCTTCAATTTGAGCTCGTCTTGGTAAACTTTGCGGATGAAGCTTGATATTGAATTGACTTGAATTGCAATGGCTTCATACTGATGTTCCTTCCATCATCCAAAAGGATATGATCGTGAAAGCTCTAGTCCATCCATCCTCCAACACATTGTTTGCCTAGAATAAATACAAAAATACAAACACTATATAAATAATATTAGTTGTAAAATTATTTATTAAAACACCATCAAAACAAAAGGCCAACAATCCCCTATTTTTAATGATGACAAATAATTTACACAAAGAGTATATAAAATATACAATAAATCATAATACTCATAAATATACTCACAAATCTACTTGTTTCTCCCCATTTGGCAACATTAAAAATGAGGAAAACAAAATAATGAAGAGAGCGAAGGCTCCCCCTACCTATAAGCACAGTGAGTATAAAAACAATAAAAGAAATAGAAAATGCTCCCCCTATCAAAAAGCTTTAATAAAAATATGCAATGAGGACAAAGGCAAACATGTGAGCAAGCAAGATATAGAAAACATGCTAAGTATCACTCACATACAACAAGATAATGAGAACACATATGAATGTATCATTATGGAAGAGTGTGTCTCAAAACACAAATATAAAAACCATGTATAAAACGATTTATGAAATCAAAAGAAGAAGAACATGAGAATCATGCAAAAAAATTTTAAATGAAAAACAAATCACTCAAATAAAATCATAAATCAAATTGAAATCCAACCAATATCAATTTCAACAAGAAATCAATAGAGGCAACCACATCAACCCATATAAACATTTTAACACCCGATAAACATGATTTGGAAATAAACACCTAATAAACCCGGGGGTTGCTTAAGCACAAACCTCTCATGAGAAAACCAAAAATCATAAAAACAAAAGAATTAACCAAAAAAAACTGTTTTCATATTAAAAGAAATTCAAAGCATACTTTTTAAAACCAAGAAAAAGAAAAAGAAAAATGCTAAAAATCTTGGTTTACAAATCAAAAAGGTTTTGGCACCCAAACACTATTAGTACCGAAAAATTTAGGGACATGACCCCTATCATTTAAGTTCAAAACCCTTGGTTTATGAACCATCTTAGGCACATTTGGTGCACGAACATGATTAAAACAAAAATTATGTAAATGACCTTTCCGATTGCAATAAGTGTAATGAAAGAGGCCCGTTTGATTTTGTTGACCAATAACTTATGCACGAGAAACATTTGCAAATAAAGATGATCTTTTAAAATAATTTTGCAAATATGAAACATTATTAAACAAAAGTGGTCTACTTGGAACATTTTGCGAAATAGAAGTTTTTTGCAAATCAAAACAATATTTCACCAAATGACCAACTCTACCATAAAAATAACATTCAAACTTATGTGGTCTTTTAGAAACATTTGGAAAACTAGAATTCCTTTTCAAAGCAAAACAAAACTTTGCCAAATGGCCAAACCGATCACATAGATCATATTTATACACATGAGCATGCTTATGATGAACTTTATGAGTGTATGCATGTACATGTGTGTGTGATGATGAAGCTTGATGAGATGTATAATGATCATTAGCATTGTTATGTTTGTGTGCATCATAGCAAAATTTAGCTAGATGGTCTTTTCGGCCGCAAATAGAATATTTGTAAACTTTGCTATATATGTGTGCATAATGAGTGGATGATTTTGACTTATTTACACTAGATTTGGCACACATATCCACAAGCTTTTTATGATTAACAATGCATGAATTAAGGACTGAATCTAAAGATGATATGCGTTCCTTAACAAGATTTAACTCTTCATTTTGCATACAAGCATTGTTATTAGAAGTAGAGCAATATAATCATTTACCAATGAATCTAATTTATTTTTACTAGCTTCTGCTTCTAATATGACATTTTCTTTTACATGAGATAAGCTAGTAAGAGATGAGGTCAACTTTTCATTTTCCAATTTTAACATGTCATTGTTTTTTTAAGCATAGTATTTTCTTTTGCAATGACATCAAAATTGAAAGCTAGCTTCTCATGATCGGATTTCAAAATAACATGCTTGCTTTTTAAATATAAAAAGATGTGATGCAATTTGGTGTAGGCATGCATTAATTTATCATTTGCACAAGCGAGTTCATTAATTAAAAGTTTACTTTCGGAATCGGAATCACTTACCACACTAGGGTTATCCCCTAATGGACGTGTGCATGATGGTGATGCTCTAATAAAACTTGAAAAGGAAGCCACGAAAGCTCGTCGGATCTCCTCCAAGTTTTCTTGATGTGCTTCTAAGAATTTCCACAATGTATAAGCGCTATCAAAAGAATCAAGCTTGTTAGACATAGATGAATCAAATGCATTTAGTAAAAATTCTAACACAAGCTTGTTCATAGTAAACATCTTCTTATTATTTTTACTCAACTTAGATTTCTCCAAAGTAGGTACAACATAAGCATGATCGATAATTTCCCACAAATCGATATTTTTAGATCTAACAAATAGATTAAATCTAAAACACCATTGAGCATAGGGGAAAATATTGAATTTAGGAGTAACACTAGGATCATAGCCTAAACTAGATGCACCATTCATATCCATGATAAATATATATGTATAAGCAAGATACAAATGAAATCAAAATAATATTAGCAAAAATATAAGAACAATGGATCTTTAACTCAAAGCGGTCAAGCCACAAATCAAAGAGCACCAAGCTCTGATACCAATTGTTAGACCCTAATGCCACTAGAAAATAACCCTAGGGGGGTGAATATGGTTTATGCTAATCTAATTCGATTCCATGTCAATTAAAAACTTATTAACAATTTATCCTAGCAAATAAGATATGCAACAATTATATGCAAGGATAAGTACTATAAACAAAGGGTAAAATAAACAAACACAAATAATATAGTGGATAAATTAGACAATGAGAGAATAACGATAGAGATAAATAAAATATAAGTGCACAAGCCAAACTCAAACACACAAAAAATGATCACAGAGTTCAGATCTTCCGTCCTACGT